TCAATCGAAAATTCTCATTTCAAAATGTTTGCTTTTTTAAAAAAATCTGTGTGCTTTTTGTTCGTTGAAATCTCTAGTTTCTGATGGTGTAAAAAAAGTATACATTACTATGGCAAATTTTCACAGGAAATCCAAAAAAACGAAACAACTCGAATTCGAATTTTTTTAATCATGTAAAATTTTGAGATATTTATTAAAATTTACACTTCAATTACTCGAAAAAAGTAAGATTCCATGTTACATTGATAAACCAAAAAATTGAAAATCCATGAAACAAACCCCTTCTGTTAGTGAGAGATTTGTCAATATGAAAGATGATTTAATTCTTGCCAACTGATTTTAGAAATCTTAATTGATTCAGGGTTATATTGTCATTTTTACATTTAGAAATATATTTGATTAATTGCAATCCATTTTTTGCGATATCTTCTTTGTTTGCATGTTTTTTATAAAAAATATTGGCCAAATTTGACAAATTTTTATCGTCTGACTAGCCTGTTTTGCCATATAAATTATTTCTAGTGCATATTTTAGTAGTTCAACAAAAAACTAAATTAAAATAAATAAATAAATTATAATTAAATTAAATTATAAATTATACATACAAATTTATCGTACGATAATGATTATATTCAACAGCCATCTTGCAACCGTATTGCAAAAAAATTTGGGTGGGCCACCCTTATCACCTAGGGGTATAAAAAATAGTTTACGACCTATTCTCAGACCTACCGAATATAGACAGAAAATTTCATAAAAATCAGTCAAGCCGTTTCGGGGGAGTTTGGTTACACACACTGTGACACGAGAATTTTATATATTAGAAGACAATGAATTTACGAAGTTTCAATTGATTCAAAAGGACCAAAAGATCAATATCTTGATCCACAGCTATGACAGTTTTATTAGTATCTCTGGCAGTTTCTATCGAGATCTTAATTATGTCAGCATCAGCATCTTCTTCTGCTTGTTTACAGGAAAATCCTTGTGACTGTAGATTCCAAACGTTTCTTTTAAATAAGTCAATTCGTCACGATACTCTTCAAGTAACTGAACCTGCACGGGTATTTTTATAAACGATGTTGTTCATTCAGGTATACATATAAGTTATCTTAAAATTGCATTAAACAGGCACCTATGCATATAATTTAAAAATTATCCTACAACTTTAACAAAATATTGTAGATGTCTTATAAAGTATTAAGTTTATTAACTTATTTGGTTGTTAATTATAGTAGTATATTTCGATTTGCAATTTTTTAATTTATCAATGTAACATGGAATCTTACGTTTTTCGAGTAATTAACGTGTAAATTTTAATAAACAGCTCCAAATTTTACATAGTAATTAAGAAACAAATTTTTGAATTCGAGTTTCTTCGTTTTTTTGGATTTCCTGTGAAAATTTGTCATAGTAATGTATAATGCTTTTTACACCACCAGAAAGTAGAGATTTCAGCGAACAAAAAGTAGACCGATTTTTTTTTAAAAGCAGATATTTTGACGTGAGAATTTTCGATCGAAAATTAAGGTGGTTTTTCGATATTTTTGAGGACCCGGTGGGTGAGGTGGCTTGGCATCTGCCCACTACACCTTGGGTCGTGGGTTCGATTCCCGCTCTGTCTCTGGGTGTTTTTGTATGTCCCCTTTTCCTGTAATTGGGCCTCTCGGCCTGTTGGAAAAGTAATTATTAAATTAAAAAAAATATTAAATCAAAATAAGGCGAAAAAATAAATATTTTGAATCAAAAAAATTACAGTGAGTTTGAAACATAAATAGATAAGTTTTCATCAAATTTCGCGAAAAAAAAAATTTTGTTTGTGGGAGATAAAAATAAAAAACCAAAAAGTCGGTTATTTGCATTTTTCGCATAAATTTTGAGGTTATGTAAAGAAAGTGTAAATACAAAAGTTGTAGATATTTTTATTACCTACAACTTTGCCCTTTAACTTTTTGCGATAGGACTTGTAGTTTTGCCAGAAATCGTGATAAACCGTTTTCTACCCTTAAACGCTCACCCTCTTCCACTTCCCGACCTCAAATCGCCCGTAAATTATTTTTCCTTTTATTTTTGTTATATTTTCTTCCTTTTCCAATGGGTATCATCCTGTTCTATTTTTTTTTCACTTTTTACCATTTTCAAAGGCTTCGGCACTGGCCTATACTGTGTCAGGATAAACTTGTTTTGGAATTAAATTTTCCAGAATTTGATTCTTTATTCATTCTATTTTTGTTTCCACATTAATACCTGCTCTGGGGTCCAAATTTTAACATATTTTTCTGTCTTTAATTAAAATTCTTATTTCATAAATAAGATATTCCCTCGTCCCTAAATACAATAAAACATACCTAGGTTTTTCGAAAATTTATAAAATTTGATTGTGCTAAGTTTGTTTTTTATAAAGACCCCTATAAGTTAAAATAAAGATATGTATGTAATGACAAAATATATGTAAAAAAGGTGCTACGTATATGTTTTAAGAGACTTTTCCTTTACAAAAGTTTGTGATGATGTCATCAACATTTTTGCAAGGACACATGTATCAGTTTGGATAGATGCAGTGCAACACTAATAATAACATTACTATATTCCCAAAATTTCGAGAATTTAATCAATAAAATAAATTGCCTCATTTAGTTAAGAATATCGTGCTAACCAAAATTTATGTAATCATTTCCACCAACAATTAATTGACGTAAACTCTTTTTTTGTGTAAACTCATATTTACACTTTATAATATAACATAATCCTATATTTGTGGTTTATGAGTCTATCTTGATTTTTATCACAATTACTTTACAAAAATTTTTGTGCGCATAGCTGATATTTTGGTTGCGTGCATAACGGTTGTCGGTGGACGTGTGGATGTCTTACTTTCTTAACAGAACTTGAGCTCCGTTCGCGTTAGTTCGATTCCACCCTTGTCGACATTTTTTTTCACATTGAATTTATTTGAATCCTGTCTGTATGACTTCAGACCAATTTGTTAAGAAAATATTAATTATCAAATATTTTCGAGTCACGGCGATATTAATTTCACTGATGAAAATTTTCAAGGTCTTTTCTGCCATTAATAAACTATTTTAAATGTTGGTTGAGAGACTGTGATTGTCCTAAAAAAACATTCAGAACTTTGCTATAGATTGTTATAAAAACAAAACGGGTTAAACGTAAGTAAGTTAAGTTCCATCACAAGTTTTATATGAACATTTACAATACCATCCATAAGTATTTAGGCACTACTATTTATTGAAATTTTTTATTTATTTATATATTTCTCCGATTGTTACTATTTTAGTGAAAAAAAAAATCGCAATGTTATTGCCGTATGAAAATATACCTTAAGTTAAAATAAACTAATCAAAGGTTAATTCGAAGCGAAAAATATATCACACCAAATTTACCTCAAATTTTAAATAAAAAAAATTAAGTTATTTTCGAAAATTTATAAACAATAAAAATATAAAAATTTCGTTTTGTTTTTTTATAAAAAAAAAAATAAATAAAACAGGACACTACAATATTTTTGTTACTTTTTGTTATTGTGAAGTACAAATACTTGACTGGACTCAACTCGTTAACTGAATAATAATAATTCCGAAGGTGGCCTCTATTTAAGTGTTAGAAGTTCCGCAGTCGAGGTCTTTCTGGATTGTCCATCGCGACTTCCGCTTTCAGGCTTTTCTTTAGCGGACGCCAACCGGGCGCCGTCACCGGCGATGAGTCACCCGTCATCGCCGCACATACTAGAAAACCCATAGGGTTTATTTCGTAACAATATTTAATATTTAGCCATCATTAGAAAAAAATAGATATCTCGTTCGCATATATGAAGCTGGTGAACACTCAGAACAAGTTTTTCTTGTGATTTCCTTAAAGTAAACTCTGTAGAATCTCTTTAATGCGAACTTTGAATAGTTGAATATTTTCATCTCGGATTGGACAAGCGCCCTCGACAGAACTCTTTGTTCTGATCTCAAAGAATTTCGTTCTTAACGAAAACGAATTGAATGTCATATGTATAATTCTAAGTTTTGTTAACATCCATCACAGTCTAACATTGCTCTTGAATAAATTGCGATTATACCTGGTAGTGCTGGATTAAATTATTTACAAGTTTATCCGCAGGGTCCGTATATGCCTTTTCTCAAATGTGACAGTGTTTATGCGATCTAAAGTTACGTTGTTAATTTTAGTTTATTTTCCTTTTCGGTTTTTGTGGTATAAGATATAGGGTGGGTCTAAAAAAATTTTAAACTCTGAATGTTTGCGAAAAAATTAGTCTAATGGAGGAAGCAGAAATTGATATAAAGAAGAAAAAGGGCAATGCATTTTAATACACTGTCAACCAACCCTTCAAAGAAAATTTCCGACCGTTTTCCGAATTTAGAAACTGCATAGTGAACTGTGTTGTACGAGTCGAAAATTCTGATATTAAAACCAATCATTTTAGTTTCTCTAAATTTCCGACAAAATGTGTGGTTTGAATTGTTTGCAGCTTTTAGAAAAAACGATAAATAGTAATTGTGAAAAATTTCAAGCAATACATTAGAAAGGGCAAACTATACTAGAACGTTTTGAAAAAAAGTACACAATAATTTCATTTTTACCATAAGATTTAACTGTATAGGACCTACTGTATTATAGATTTATTTAAAACCCTTTTTTGATATGTAGTACTTCAGATCTATCTAGGTACGTATTGATGGGCATTATTGATGGGCATTATTGATTAATAAAATTCTTAACTTACAGTTCTTGAGCTAAATGTCACTGCAATCACACCCCAAAAAAGAAAAAACTCTATAGATTTTTGTTTTAATTTTCTTATTGTTTTTTTCTATATATACATTAGATATCACAATACGAAATTAGGTAGCTAAGTGAACCTTGCCAGTTTCCATTAGAGCCGTTATTCTTTACAATATAAATATTCCATCTGACCCGTCTTTATTCAATTCCTTCTAACAAGTGGTGCTGTTGACAGTGGTTGATTGTAACTAGATCCGTTGCTGAGGTAGGAGTCCTGCGTGATTCAGAACTGTGAAAATTTCTTTCCGAGGAATTTTATGAGAGTCTCTGGCCTTTATAGGACGTTCTCCAGGCCCGAACCATGAGCTCTTGGCAAGTGCGGCTCTGATTTTGGGATTCTGGTAGAACGGATTTTTTAAATGAGGCGGAAGAAGTTCTTCTTGCGCAGCTGTTCTTTGGACATCTTCATGCTCTAAGTCGTTTTGTGGGAAAAATGATTGACTTAATACGAATGGTAACGTTACAAGAAGCACCAAAAGGTGGAAGTTCATCTGCAAAAATAGCAAATATTGTGATGTTGAGTTTGAATTGTCCCTGAAATGAAAAAGCCAAGAATGCTTCTTTTATGAGTTTTCTTTTTAAATTAAGATTTAAAATGAAAAAACCTATATCTTTTGATGCGGAACTTGTTAATGTTCAGAGCATTTAGCAAGGAGAAAAAGGAAAAAACGCAAACGAGTTTCACGTACAGGAACCTCAGGCAAATGGTGTTAAATTACGAATTAAATTCTAACATTAATAATGTTATTATTATCATTATGCCAAAAGTTGGAATGGGAAACTATAATCTCTTGTACACAAATAAACTTGTTATTGAAAAAATCAAATACATAACTCTGACATTTTATTTCCCCGTAAACAAGAATATATGATAGATTATAATTATATACAATATAATGAAATCCAATAGATGAAATTAAGTTGTTGGATGTTAAGCTTTATTTAAAATCCCGTTTTATCAGTTTTGACACTTTCTTATATTTTCGGAGCTATTTTGTCGAGAGAGCTCTTTTCACAATACACGGAAGAGTATCGTTTGTGTATTTACAACACTTTGAAGAACACCAACACCTTTAGTTATAAATCTTACCCAAGAAACTGTTTCTTGAAATGAAAAACATTCCGGATCCTCAGGCAATAAGCTGGTGTAATCAATATTGGCTTCAGTGTGAAAGTGAAAACGTAGTCGTTTCTTTATTGAAAATTTTATACTTCCATTTACGATTCCTTCCGGTTTTGTCGTGAACTTATGGATATTTATAAACGCATTTTCATTTTAATTTTGTATAATTTTATTATCGTTCGTACACATAGATCACGGGTAGACAAATGTTTACGCAGAAAGTAATTTTATTATGTAAAAATATGCTCTGAATAATTACCCACATATCACCTGTAATCGATCGCGGAGAAAGTTAAAGATATGATTTCGGTGGCTGCTGGTATGTGTGATGGTGACAATATTGTATAATGTTTGTATAACGAAATGGATAGCGATATTTTAAGAAAAAGGTAACCTATCCTAGTGAATTATTACTAACAAAGTACTAAATTTTGTCGCAAATATTTTTAATACCTTTAACTTGGTTTATATTTCCATGAACAATATGTGAACACTTTTACATTTACCGCACAACTGTCTGGATCGCATGTGTCGAAGTAGTGTGTATAACTTGAAGAGGGGATCAAAGATGATGAGACATTGATTACATAAAAATTACACAATTTGTTTTACTTGTTGTGCATTTGATTATCGAGTATATCGAGGATAAATTGCACCATTAACAATACTAAGTGGACCAACACAGGACCTGCTAAGCGTTTAATGTCGTAAGTCTAAAATGTTATAAATATTTAATTTTTAATTAATATTCTGAATTAAAAAAGTCAGTTAAACAAATTGATTAATTTGATCATTTTTTAGTTTTAACAATAGATTAAACAATAACAAAAATGGAAATTACGAAGATAAAATTTGATGTTGTAATATAGGCAATTAAGTTGTTATGATCATTTTGTGTTGGTGAATTAATGAAAAGTATAAATTGGAGATGTCAAATTCTGAAAAAACAGTTTATTGCACTTTACGGTTTGTGATTTTATTTAAGACAAATTACTTAACGAACAAAGTAAGGAAATAAATAAAGTAACACAGTTAATTGCAAATGCATGATGCTCATTAAACAAACTTTGCTTTCATGTTTAGTTATTCTAGAATAGTTGTTGAGTGACGAAACTAAACATTTTTCTTTGTTGTTCTCAAATCGGAAAGAGCTTATTTTATTTATTAACCAATTGTAAGTTAAAACATGATTTGATATGACGTAAGTTAATTGACATTGTACCTACAAACGAAATACACTCAAATTTATTCATGGTGAAGTTTAGCTCAGTAGGTGTTCCTCCACTTAACTACCCACATTATGACATAGAAACACTGTAATAAAACTGTAATAAAAACATCAAAAACAAGAAAAAAATCTACTATTAAGATAAACAGTTATTCCCATGATTGATAAGTGCATATTTTATTATTCGTAAGCACACGAGCACATGTACGAGGTGTGATCGACAAAAAACTTCCTCAAGTTTGCGTTGGATGAGTAAGCTGTCTTTTTTATGGTTTAATGCTTATATCGGAATATGTCAAACACAGGTAAAATGCAGTGGCAACCAGAGGACGATTTTTATTGATGGCTTTTTGCATATAAAAGCAATATAGACAAACACGTTACTACTCATATCAATGCATAAGTACTTCACGAAAATTTTTTAATTCTCCACCCAAAACCTTGCTGTTATTTTAATAATTTAAAGCGACCTTGTTTCGCTATAGTAACAAAACATTTTTGCTATTCACTCATTTCGCATTTCTCACTTCACATTTCACATTGTTCATTTTGCGTTTCTTACTTCGCTTTGCGCATTTCGCGTTTCACATTTCTCATTTCTTATTAGCATCCTTATTTCGCATTTCGCATTTCTTATTTTTCATTTTTACTTCCCGAGCGTAAGCAAAGAAAGTATTGTAATCGAGTCCGTCGGCCGACTCTCTACTTTTACGTTTTTTCGATTTTTCATGACCCCTAGAAGACGAAGAAATAGGTCTCCAATTTCCGTTTGTCCGTTTGTCCGTCTGTCCGTCTGTCTGCCGTCCCGGATTTTTATTAGATAGATAATCTCCGAAAGTACTGGACCGATTGTTGTGAAATTTTGTACTTATATTAGGAATATCATGTAGATGGTAAAACACTAACCAAAATTTGTCTAATCATCCCCACCATTAATGCGATGACGTCACTTCAAAATTCTACATAATAAATGGGTTTTAAATTGTCTAAAATAATATAGTCCTACACATGTAGTTGACGACTCCTAATTGAGTTTTTACCCGAAACGTCCAGATTTTTGGAAAAAAAAAATCAAAATTATAAAACAACATTTTATAATTTAATTTTGAATCTGCTAACCCGAATACTTTGAAATCTTGCAGATGTTTTAAGGTTATATCTTTATAACCAACATATATCATTATAAACATTTATTATGCTCTTGCATAATAAATGTTCACTCAAAATATATTTGCTTATCCCCTCCAAAAAATTGATGACGTCAGCTCGAAAGTTCGCCGAATAAATCCTATCTAAACTATACAAAATATGATGAGTCTGTACTTGTGATTTATCACTCCATTCATATTTTTTGGATTTGCATATACAGGGTGACCCAAAAAAAATGAATGCGTAAATGTATTTTATCGATTTAATCAGGAACTACAGAACCGAATGTTTTGGAATCTTGCAGATATTTTAAGGTTATAAAGAACATAATAAATTTTTAGTCAAAATATATTTGGTTATCTTCTCCAAAAAAACTGATGACGTCAGCTCAAAAGTTTGCCGAATAAATCCTATCTAGAATATACAAAATATGATGAGTCTGTACTTGTAATTTATCATTCCATTCATATTTTTTGAATTTGCATATACCGGGTGACTCAAAAAAAAATAAATGCGCACATTTATTTTATTGGTTTACTCAGGAACTACAAAAAATCGAATGCTTTGAAATCTTCTGCGAAAAAAAAACATAATAGGCATGTAGTCGTCACGTTTCCGACAGCGAGGGAAGCACTGTCTAAACTCTTTAGACCAATTTTTTATTTCCTGTCTGGCATTTCTTATTTCACATGGGTCATTTCGCGTTGCTCACTTCCCATTCCGCATTTTGCATTTCACATTTTCAATTTCCCATTTCCTGTTTTTGATTTCTCATTTAGCATTTTTTTGCATTTTTCATTTTGCGTTTCTCATTCCGTATTTCTGTTTTCACATTTCACATATCACATTTCCTATTTCTCAATTCGCATTTCGTGATTCTCATTTCGTATTGCGCATTTCGCATTTTTCATTGTTAATTTTTCATTTCGCATTTCTCATTTCCCTTTTTCATTTCTTCTTTCTCATTTCGCATTTCTCATTTCGCATTTTCCATTTCTCATTTCTCATTTTGCATGTCGGAATTCGTATTTCGCACTTCTTGTTTCTCGTTTTGGATTTCCCTTTGCGTATTTCTCATTTTGAATTTCTCATTTCCTATTTCTTATTTTTCGTTTCCAATATCTCATTGCCAATATCCCATGTTCCATTCCTAATTTCTCATATCCCATTTCTCATTTCGCATTTTGCGTTTCTCATTTCGCATTTCTCATTTTTCATTTTGCGTTTCTCATTTTTCCTTTCTCATTTCGAATTCTTCATTTCGTGTTTTTCACGTCGTATCTCTCATTTCACATTTCTCATATGGCATTTCTTATTTCGCATTTCTCATTTCTCATTTTTTATTTTTTATTTCGTATTGCATATTTTTCATTTTTCATTTCGCATTTCTCATTTCTCATTCTGCACAACTCAATTAGCATTTCGCACAAGTTAATTCTCATTTCGCATTTGGCATTTTTCATTTCCTACTTTTCATTTCTCATTTAGATATTATTATTTCATTTCTTCTTTCTCATTTCGCCCTGCGCATTTTGTATTTTTCAGTTTTTATTTCTTATTTCGTATTTTGTATCTTTGATTTCCCATTTCTCAATTCCCATTTCTCAGTTCCCATTTCTCATTTCGCATGTCTTCGCATTTCCTATTTATCATTTCCAATTTTTCATTTCCCATTTCTCAGTTCCCATTTCTTATTTCCCATTTACTATTCCAAATTTTTCCTTTCGCATATTTCATTTCACACTACTCATGTCGTATTTCTTATTTCGCATTCCTCATTTCTCATTTGGCATTTCTCATTTCTCTTTTCGCATCCTCGTTACTCATTTTGCATTTCGCATTTTTCATTTCTTATTTCTCATTTCGCATTTCGTATTTGTCATTTCCTATTTGTCATTTCCCATTTATCATCTCCCAGTTTTCATTTCCGATTTCTCAGTTCCCATTTCCCATTTCTCATTTCTTATTTTTAATTGCGCATTGCACATTTTTCATTTTTCATTTCGCATTTCTCATTTCCCGTTTCTCATTTCCCATTTCTTATTTCTCATTTCCTATTTCAAATTTTTCCCTTCGCATATTTCATTTCACATTACTCAAATCGTATTTCTCATTTCGCATTTCTTATTTCGCTTTCTCATTTCGCATTTCTCATTTTGCATTTCGCATTTCCCATTTCTCATTTGGCCTTTGTCATTTCTCATTTATCCACGATTGCTCATTTCCCATTTCTCATTTCTCGTTTTTTATTTCTTACTGGACATTTTTCATTTCGTGTTTCCTATTTTTTATTTCGCATTGCATATTTTTCCTTTTTCGTTCTACATATCTCATTTCTCATTTTGCACATTTCAGTTCTCATTTCGCACAACTGAGTTCTCATTTCGCACATGTTATTTCCTATTTCAGTAATTTTGAGTCCAATAGTATGCCAAGAAATTTAATGGAAGGGTCGGTATTGACGGATACGTTAGTTTTTTTAAATAAACACCATGTTTTCTTATTTAGTTTTATTTATACAAAGTTTATTGGATAAAAACCGTTGAGTTTCTTCCGTACAGATGTTATTTAAAGATGTTTTTATTGACTGGGGTGATTTCTCTCTTTTGCCAATTGTCATATCATGTGCGTACAATACCGTTGAAAAGTGGGAGAAAGATTTAGGTCAGTCATTGACGTAAATCAAAAACAACAGAGTCTTTAAGATGAAACCCTGTGGTATTCTGTATATAACTTTATTTTTGTTAGGAGGTCTAGAAATGTAGCAAAAAAATGTTCACTATATTGTAAACATTTAACCACATTGTTAATAAGAGAAAGAACAGCTTTTTCGGTTGATAAACTTTTACGAAATCCATATTGATAATTAAAAAATAATTTATTATTGTCAAAATATTTTAGTGTTTGATTAAACATTAATGATTCAAATACTTTTGAGAAGACAGGAAGCAAAGATATTGGTCGATAATTGTTTATATCATTAAGACTTGTTTTTGTAGGGGAATGACCGAAGCAATTTTTAAGCAATCCGGAAAAACAGAATTACCATTGCATTTGTTAATTAATGTCGGCAATCTCATTTTTCATTTTATGTTTCTCATTTCGGATTTCTCATTTCATATTTCTTATTTCGCATTTCTTTCTAACTTCACATTTACTTCTCGTTTCTCATTTTTCCTCATTTCGCCTTTCTCTTTTCTCGTTTTTTATTTCGCATTCCATATTTTTCATTTCGCATTTCCCGTTTTTTATTTCGCTTGCATATTTTTCCTTTCTCGTTTTGTACAACTCATTTCTTATTTCGCATATCTCAGTTCTTATTTCCCATTTCGCACATTTCAATTCTCTTTTCGCAGATCTCATTTCTTATTTTGCAGATCTCATTTTCCATATATTTCAATATTACATTACAGTTATCTTAGATTTTCTCAAAGGTAACACTAGAAGTTCGTGAGTTTAATGTTTCACTCATCGGTTATTTTAAACTTTTCACCCCGTTTTTTATCGTGTACGCGAGAACAGAGGAAAATGTGTCCAAGATAACAGATAAAGACTGATAGCCAGTGAAATTTTGAAATGGTAGTGATACCATAACTTAAATTTCAGAGGGAATGTAATGTAATGAAAGAAATGTTATTTACTGTCATTTTCACTTGATACTAAAAACAGAAAATAAATAAATGTTAAGAACTAAAAATAGTGGAATCTCGATGGTGCTCAAACCATCAAAGTTTGATAAACAATTTAAAGTAAATTAATTTTTTGACAATTGTTTGCTGCTTTTAAAGGAATATTTAACCTACTTTACAAGATGACAATCTGAATTTTTTAACACGATTTCACATGTCGTACACCCTCAATGATCACAAATGTACTTGTAATCTAATACAGTAATTGTGGGAAAGCTGAAAGAAACCTATGTAAATATATACAAGGTTTGTTGAAATTCTGTACGTAAAATAGTAACATTTACGCAAATGTGGATGAGAGCTGATTTAAGAATTATCTGTCACGCAATAGATAAAACCTTGCCTAAGTTTACGTGACGTTTGTACTAAAATAATTTTGATGCAATGGGTCAGGTTCATTAGTTTTTATTTGAAAAGAGTAGTACAAATTTTTTGCACATATATTGAGAGATTCAGCAAAATTTTAATTTACTTAATTTAATGTATAACTTAAAATTCTGAAAGAATACGTGTGATACGTGTTTCGGAAGTTAGTATTAAAATATATATGTACTTATATATTAGGACATAAGGGCATTTCAAAGTTCGAAGGCATTATAAGCAAATTTTTTATTGTATGAAATATATTTAAATACATGAAACACAACATTTCTCATTGGTCAACAAACTAAACTTATTGCAGAGTATTGCAAAAATTATTACAATATATAATATCTACAATCTACGACTACTTTATTTTGATTATGAAAATCATATATTTACAATGAAAAATTTTATACAAAATAATGTACAATTTTAAATATTATCTTCGTCATCCGACTCTAAAATTAAATGTTCTTCATCGTAATCGTCATGCTCTTGTCATCTAGCTATTAAAATAGTATCAACGTAATTATCAGTATACTCAGCGATATTTTCGGTAATATTAAGTTTCGTTTTTTGATTATGGCTTAACAATCCATCACAGGTACAGCATTCACATCTCCAAAACAGAAGGCACCCTTAAACAGGTCATTCATTATTGCTAGGATAACAAAAATATTTGTGGTAAGTTCGTACCTACACATAACCAGAAAATAAATCCTGGCCAAATATCTGTCATTAAGGTAGCTATTAGAACGATATGTAATTGAATAGCAACTATGTTACAAAGTGGTGTCACAGAGTTCGGCAGTAGTCCATCTTCTGACTGGTATGCATTTTTGGGCATTACTAATATTATAAGCGTAGAAAAAACAGAAACTAGAATAACAATTATTTGTAATACAAATTACACAACGAGTGTACAAACCTGTAAAACACGGCCACAATAAATTATAAAGTCTCCACACTATTACTTGAGATAAACTTATTGTAGCTATTGCTATGATCATTAAAAATATTATTACTGTTGTTGCTGTTACATACGTTGGATATTTATTTTCGTTGAAATTGTCGATGGTTGCAACCTGGAAAAATTTCATATGGAATATTTATAGATTAATTACAAAAATCTCACCTGTATTTTATCCTTATATTCTTGAACTATAACATCTATATCTGTAGAAGTATAGGAATCTTCGGCATCACTGGACAAAACCGATTCTTTTTCCTCGTTGTCATCTGAACTATCATCGTTTGAAACATCAACAGATTTGTCACAGTACTCATTTAGAAGTAAATATTCATCATCTTGTGTAGATCCTGCTCCTGCAAATAACAAACTGAAGACTACATTACGACAATTGTCATCCAGTTACAAACTTGGAGTGCGATGTTTGTTAGAATTAATACTGTTAGGTGAAACGTTTTTCTTCCAACCGGAGATGATGCCGGAAACTCTTTTTTTTAAGTTTGGGGGAGCTCCTTTTTGTCCTTTTGAGGACTGCTTCAGTTTGCTGTACTGGGTGCTCGTTGAGCTTACTGAAAATTGTTAGGTGCAGTACAGGTTTTTGAAAAAAAAAAAATTAGATTTTCGTTATATCTACCTAAATACGATTCGTTTCTGAATTCTGGACGATAGTAGTAATATAGCACCAACAATGATTTAACGATACATTTTAATAATGTTGATGCATTTAATATTTTTACGAGGTACGCCAAGGGGCAAGCAAACGCTAAAATCGCTGCCAAACTACCTAAAATTGATTTTTCCATTATGCTACAACTTGAGTTTGAAATCCACTGTTACCTGCAGCAAAAATGGTAAGTAGGGGAGCCCCAGTAAAAGAATTTCTGTACTGTAAAGAAGCCAAAAAAATCTGCCACTCTTTACTGGCTAGCGTCTCAAATAATGCATACAAACTGGGAAAAATTTCCGTCAGTGCTAGACACACTATACATATGATACAAATTGACATCACCAGCCTGGCCCAATCAACATCCCTCAGTTCAAATATCCGTAAAAATGGAGTCGCTGTACCATAAAGTTCCCTAAGAATCATCACATTAAGACAATAAAAATTATCATTACTTATGTCTTACTTATAATGGGACATGAGTGTGAAAACCATTATTGTGAACGTGTACAGAAATAAAGGTACCAGGACCATTGTAGATATTTTTAAAATTTTGTGTTTAGTGATTTTTGGAAAAGTGTTGATAAATCCATATGAACACATTGCTGCCGCAGATACTATCTAAAACCAAAGTTGATAGTGTATAACTAGTTTCTGTTTTTTGAAGACACATGTAACTTATTTTACACAATACAAAGAATTACTTACAGATTGCAGTGAACATAATTTAAAATCTTCGCTCCATTTCGTTAAGGTGATAATCGTCTCTGCACATCCGATCGAAATAAAAAATACGAAGGTGATTAAAACAGTTAGGAGTAACAGTGACGTAAACAGTGGCGACTTCTACAAAACAAGGATATGTACGATAATTTTTGTTTCACAATAATTTAGTACCTCAAGTCCTAACATAAATAGTCCTGTAACCACAATAACCACAGAAACGCCTAAAACATCAGGCCAGGGTTCACCAAGAGAATGCGATTCTATACCAAGAAACCATTCTCTTAACTTCTCGTTGGTAATATAATCGACAGTTGCGCTCGCAATTCTAGCACATGTAGCTGATGCAGCTAAAAGTTCTAATACCTCGATCCATATTTTAAAGAAGTCTAAAATATCACATAATTTTCGTTTCTTATATGTGGTATCAGTCGTATTTAAGGACGTTCCACATAAAGCTAAAATATCTCGTATTTTTTATTTAGTTGAAAAAAAAGTTTCTTGGACTAACCTGACAATACGATGGATATTATAGAAATGGGTAATGCAGCAATGGTGATAGCACCAGAAAATTGTGAGGCAGTCAGTCCAATAAGTACCGTCAAACCCAATGACAGGTGGATAGAAAGAGCAGAGAATTCTTGCAATAAACTCATTTTTTAATGTATTTGTCACATAAAGTCCATAATCGTAAAATTTATTGTACTTTATTTATATTGTCCCGGCGCTTAATTGAAACTGAAATAACTGAGTTAACCTAAAAGCAAAATGTGTCAAGGTAATTAACAACATTAAGCACTGCTATTGTTGTCATCATTTCATATTTGTTATGCAATCTGAAATTAATTATGAAACTTAATATTCAGAAGCTGTGCGAGGGAACGTTGTGCTTGATTAGGCATCAACTTACCAAAATGGTTTCCAGTATTTACACTCTGTTTTATCTGCGGTTAACATTAGACTAACAAATTATATATCACAGTATTTTATAAACAAAATTAGCTATTTTAGGCTACTGATTTTAAGTAAAATATAAATCTTCCGCATTACTGCTGCATTATTCGATCGATAGGATTTCACACGCAAGCGCTGCTAAGAAAATTCCTTTATTTGGGACCTGAGCTAGACTAATCACTCAGTTTCATATCATTTAAGTTCATTAACTTAATGAGATCTAATACATATATTTTCTATTCCATTCACGCACCTCAATTCATTTACGAAATATTTTTTTGTGTTTTCAGCAACATACAATTTCATCGAACTTTTATCTTCTTCGTTGTGAATCGTAAAAACCGACCTTATTCTTTCGAAAGGTAAAAAAGCAGTGCACTGCCCTGTGCTATACGCTGCTTGAAACGAAACAGGTTAATATTTTACTTAACTGTGCACGTAGTAGAATCGATAGTATATTTTATATCGTCAAATAAAACAACGTTCCTGAGATTAATAGTGTGAGTAACAAAGTAAAAAAGAAGGTCGAATTTTTCTTTGAAGTTTATTTATTATAAATATTAAAATATTAATGATAGTAATACTTTATTTACACTTTGAAGTCATATCAATTTGTAAAAGAATTATAAATATGGCAACTTAACTATTCATCATGCTCAGATTCTTTTACATAATCTATATCACAAGAAAAATCACTTAATTTAAATTGCACTCAGAAAAACTTAGTCACAATGTAATTCACCACATGGAAACTTCTTGCAGCTTGTCAGATTTTGGCCTGAAATACATACAAAACGAATCTAATTTTACAATCACAACAAACGTCTTCACCTAGGAATAACTCTGTGAATTGTGGGAATATTTCTAGAGATGGAGTTTGTGGACTCTTTTGATATCGATCTAGGTACTGGTTTTGGTCCAAAATCATTGTTAGGACTGTGAGGGTAATTCCAAGTGGACTTCGTTCCTAATTCAAAATTTTGCATATGGCTACCTTTTGTATAGTCGTTGTTCGATTTGTCTTCAGTTTTCGAAGATAACCGACTAAAATTTACCCGTTATAGAATACAGAGCAATTTGAAATTAACAGCTTACCGTAAAATTTTCGTCCCTATACCTACAGGTTCTTCTAATTTACTGTTACTGGTTCGTTTTTTCTGAAATCTTCTGCCTCGACTATCTTCGATTATTATGTGTCTGTCATATGGCGTGTCGTAATCGACTTCTAAGATTGTGGAAAAGCTATGAGGAAATATTATTTCTAAAGCTGTGATAATGACGCCGGACAACAAGCAGACACTTCCTTAAAGTAAACGAATTTATTAATATGTTAAGTCATTATGACTGACGTAATTACCCGCTATCAAGACTAACCAGTAGCACCAACCGAAAGTAAAATGAAGAGTGCTGCCTTCTATATGAACAACTAAAGCAGTTTCGGGTAGTAATCCAAAGTAACCACATGCTGTGGCTATGAGGAGAAAGCCACATGTGGTCATTAGAACTGCTCCATAACGAGGAACCACGATCAACATTAAATTCATCAAGATCCATACAGAAAAAGATGTCCTGCAGCAAATGATTAATCTTTCAAAATGTAAAGTTGAAAGGAAGAAAAAAGTTTTTAGACAACGAGAAGATTTACTCATCATTAAAACAAATTTATGCTTACCACAACATTATGACAGCATAGTATCCAGCGGCTCTGTATTGACCGCCCCACGAGAGTCCTTCCTGTCCCATAGTAAAATATTCTGCCACAGTCAAAATAGGAAATGGCAAACCTCTTACCATGGCGTCCTTAAAACTATCACCCATTTGGTCTGAATTCAGCCATAAAAATTGTTCGTTAAAGTCTATATCACTGGTCCAGTTACTGCTGGTGGACGCTGAAAAAATTAATTGAGTGCCTCATTTTCACGATAAACTGTATAATAATACCTTGAAGCGTAATATTTACATGTCTCAGTCCTATGTAAACTCCCACATTAGAGGAAATTTTCTCCTTGGAAAATGCCCTATATGTGCTAACAACTGTTGCATTTGCTACGTGCCATGCAGATCCGAAAAGCGTCACTGAAACAATGTGCTCTTTTATTTCGGCAGTTTATGCTAATTTTATTACTTGTTAATTTTTGTTTGATGGTGGCTGTAATTGTTCTGCTGTTTACAAAAGCTTTACTACATAACACTACCCGACAAAGCAAATAAATTTATATGGTAATTTTAAATACACACAAACAGATTTTCAAATTTAAGCGGCGATGTCTCTGTTAGAAGAGCTAATCAATAAAAACCGATATTAACAGTTAATTAGCTCATGCGGGATTAAATTGCGTGTACACAGTGATTCACTTTTTAGGTATCGAACTTCGAATAAATGGATATTTTTATTATTTTTCTATTTAAAAAATGAATGACAGTTTACTGAAGAATAGCTGTTTGGTAGAAAATGTGTGATGGGGTTTGATAAACTTTGTTTCAGAACTATCAACAAAAAACTTCTTCAAGTTGGCAGCGGATGGGGAAGTTGACTTTTTTATCGTATATTATTGATATATATGAGGAATGAGAGAAAGAATTAAAAATCCAGAACGAACTTTAAATACCATATATGTATATTTTTGTATCACATTAGAAGTTTACTTGTCACATTTAGTGCGTGAAATATTTTTTTGCTGATAATTAGCTAAATTAGACTCGTAACTTTCATTTTCAATGCATTTCTTAGAAACAAATACATCTAAACTAAAACATTGAATATTAATTGAAATTCTGCTGTGAGCCATTTTAAGTTAACAGTATATTAAAATCGTCATTAGCAGTTCTTCCTCTAAAGGATGACCAAGACGGAAGTGTGAAGGACAGAACTAACATCTGCACTCCACACTCTGTCCTTGTGTTTTAAGTATACTTAAACTCGCATGTATCTAAAAATTGAACATTGTTGACTACTTTAATTACTTTTAAATAATTTTCGTTGGGCGCACAGTTGTTTTCAAAATTAGGTTACTCAACATTCGATTTCTGAAACCTGCAGAATCTGAGATGAACCATATAATCCCTGCTATAAAGTCCATTACATTTTTGATTAGATAATTGACTTTGACAACCCCCACTTTACATTGGCCCTTATCTTGTTTGATTTCCACGTGCTAGACATTTTCTCGGACTACTTCATTGTTAAAAACAAATACAGCGTTTTGGCACCCTGAAAGTTGTTCTGGTGAAGAACATATTCTTACGTTATTCGGTAATTTAAAATCGGCGTGGGTAAAACTCAACAACTTATTTCTCAGTTATACTAATTTACACGATTAGCTATACAGCGATAATGTACAGAATAACTCCGACTCGACTGGAATAGACTTTACTTCTCCGACTGTCTGGACTCCACTGACTGAATAACTGAGACTGCCTCGTTCCCGAAGGTGGCCTCTCCCACCCATTCTCGCGCTTCGAGGTTTTTCTGGACTCCACAATCGAGACTTCCGGTAACCCGCTCTAGCCTTGTCTTTATGCGAACGAAAAATAGAAAATAAAGTCAAAGATTAAAATTATACACTTTTTCAGGACCACACACTAAAATTATTTTCAATTGACAGAGTGCCCTGTTTTTCAGGGGTAATACCAAACTTAATTTTTTCAAGTGGAATATCCTATATATTTTACATATTCTAGCTAGCGTCGTCTTAAAATATATAACCACACTTTATTTTTGATTGAATTTCCTTGGAATATTTTAGCTTTGTTGTGATATAAATAAAATTGAGTCTTAATGTACGTGTATTTAGGAAAAAAATGCAATTTTAAATATAGGTATTGCAGTTTTTTACTTCCCGAGTGTAACTAAGGAAGTATAATAAATCGAGTCTATCGGACGAATTACCACTTTTATGTTTTCTCGACGTTTTATGATCTCTACAGTGCCAAAAATGTAGTTTCCAGTTTCCGTCTGTCGGTCTGTCTGTTTGTCTGTCTGCCTGTATCCATTTTTATTAGACACGTAGTCTAGGAAACTGCTGGACCGATTATTGTCAAATTTTGTATGCATGTTGGAAATGTCATGTAAATGGTTAAATACTACAACAATTTGATGACGTCATCTCAATGAACCATTTTAAAATGATTTTAAAGTTATACAGAAATATACCCCTATACTTGTAGTATACGAATCCATTGCACGGTATAAAAACGTTATATTATCCCCACGCAATAGAACTCCTCGTGGGTCAGTGGGTCAGCGGCTTTGTTGACAAAGCGGCGATATTCGGTAGTGAGTTCGATGCCGAACTTGGGTTGGCCCTTTCTCAAATTAAGTACGAGCCAGTCACCCCATTTCCTCGAAAATGTGAGAATATACGCACGTCTCTATATAATAATGATAAAATAAGAATTCTAATATTCAGAACATTTTGCTCGATTGTAGTTTAATTAATAATTTTAGTCTTCTGTTTTGAGACAACAAACTCATTCAAATCGAACTAATTTCTACCTGACATTCTTTCGATGTATAAAATATAAATAAACACTTGCGCTTCAGATGGCTGAAAGATATTTTATGCCGTTAGTTCTGTGCTTTCATAGTTATTTATCTATTAAGGGCACAATTAGGGAGATTATGGCACGAGGGAATGTTTAAAGCCCGACGAAGGAGTGTGGCTTAATTAATAGTTTTAGTCTTCTGTTTTGAGGAGACAACACATTCAAATTAAACAAATTTCTACGTGACATTCTTTCGATGAACATATAAACATACACAGTCGAAGTTAAGCATTGCTTTGAATATATTTCTTATTGTCCGTATGTCTGCGGACGGCACCTCCTCGGAATTTGTGCCCCCGCGGCGCAGGGGATTCGAGGGGTTATTTACACCACTGGTTTTTAATATACATATAAAAGTTATCAGAAAACAATTTTTTTTATAATTTCTCAAAGAAGCGGAATTTGTTGGAGTGTACTTCAAGAGCGAGGGAAGTTCTGTCGAAGTAACCGTGGACTAATTTTTTAAATAAACAATCTGTATTGTATAACTGCATCTTATTCTGTCTCTTGTTCACTTCTTTTTCGTTAACTAAGTAGGTAATTATTGCGATTTTTTACTTTTTCAAGAGACACAGCTACATACTGAAGAAAAGAGATAAAAAATACAGTAAGATGCAGTAATAAAATACAGGATGTTCTATTTGAAAAAACTGAAATATCGATATTGGAAAATTGTAATGTTTTAGAATATTTTCATAAATACCCTGTAAACTGAAACTGAAATCAATTCATATCACAACAAAGTGCGTACCTCTAACTATTCATCCCTCCATAAATTATTGCAAAACACGTCTTAAAAATAAAATTATTGCGTTTGTTTTGCGAACCCGTGTGTTGCTAAAAAAAATTGCAAAAAATATAAGTTATTCTATGAAAAAAAAACACAAGTTTTATGTTATTCCTCAAAAACAAAACACTCTCTATAGTCGAAGATAATTTTACTGTATAGTACCAAAGAGGCCTACAACTTTAGTCTGATCTTTTTTCTATTTATAAAAATTAAAAGTCAAAATGGCCACTGCCTCAAAAATTTATTCAGTTTATATGGGTAAAAGGATCTCAAACATAATTCATACGGCTTATTAAACATTGTTTACTTTAAATTTCTCTTTAAACAGATACAGACAACAAGATAAACACAAGCGTCTTGGGAAAACGATTATTAGTAACATATTTTCAGTATATTCATGATCACTGTTATATCTCGAATTCATGAAAGGAAAACATTTTCCAAAAACTTTAGGAAATAATGACATTACATTACCATACAGCGTGTCTCAGTTAAAACTCCGTCACGTTATATCTTGAAAACGGACAGAGATATTGAAATTCTGTAAACGCCATTGTTTTTAGCGTGAAGGGGAAAAGCGTAATTTAGCGTTCCCCTTCAAACTAAAAATAATTGTGATTGCAAGATTTCAATATCTCTATATGTTCTCAAGATATAGGTCGGGGTGTTTAACTGATTCAAAATTAAATTTTAAATTTTTTTCAAAATAAAAATTAAATTGTGAATAAAGAAAAATTGTATTTGGTTTCTTAATATCTTTGCCTTTTGCTTTTTGTAGTGGTAACTGTCGAACCCATTTCTGATGGAACAATTTTCATGAAAACCACAATTTCTTTTTCAAGACGATTTTTCTTTGACGTATTTTTGTAATTTGTTCTGTTTTTGATGATACTGAACCTTACAATTACTTGACTCTAATTTTTTCAGCACTATTTTTCTAGTTTGTATTACATAACCAGTGAATTAAATTTGAATTTACAAACAATCAATAAGTGGAGGAGAATCGGAAGATGTATTATTTATTGCCCAATAGTCTCTACAAAAATATCTTACACTATTCTGCAAAACATTTTTGTGTCACATTATCACTTCAATAGAAAATAAAAAGTTGTAATTAACTACAAGTTCAAGTGACAATAAATGTTACAATTTTAAAGATAAAAATGTTTTAACACAAGGGATTAATCTACATGTATAATTACTTAACCAGTAAAAAATGTTCCACCACACATGTAACGAAATTTTACTTATTTTGTACATATTCTACATATTGTTACAATCTACGAAAAAGGATCTCACTTTATACTAATTGTGCAATTCCTGCAAAGAATTGTTTACAAATGTAACTTTTCTCAAGTTACTTAAAAGTAAGCGGTACAGTATTACAGTGATAAATGCGGTGTGGATTACAGTTCCTACAAACAGTTTTATGTTTTAATGTTTAAAACGTCTACACACATATTTACTACCACATGTGTAGTCAATTTACCGCATCTTCTCAAAACACATAACATCATGTAATCGTCTTGTCGTCGAAGTCGGGGTGTGCAAGAACATAAATTCAATATTTTTAAAAGCATATATATTTAATGTTGCAACATCTGAATTGTATAAAAATTTCACTATTGTAAAAGTTTAAAAAGAACGAGATGTAGATAACAATGACGAAACTGCAACGACCGGACCACCTAGTAGCTCTTTATGAAATGAAGGTGATAGTAACAAAAATCAACTAATCAACTCACCTAGAATTGTAGCACCCACAAATACGCTTAAAGTAACAGCAAAAAATGTCGTGAATCTCTGAAAAAAAAGTTCAATTAGTACATTCATGTGTAAATGTTTCACAGCAGGCGACAGTTAAACAATAACATTATGTTAATTACGGATTTTTCCATGCCATTGTATAATAAATTTGGGAACGTCGTAAATTGCTGAGAATTGATGAAATTTGCGAGATAATTAAATAAACTTTCATTTGTCCGTATGGCGCTACGTCGGAATAGTTTTAAGACATTAGAAAGATAAATAAGTGAAAAGTTTGCTTCATTACTAAAATTGTTTTCTAATAAATTTTAATGAACCGTAACATTGCCTAACTTTCATCACTTTTCAAGGTGTTTCAATTTAATAACAGTGAAGAGTATAATTTCTATTTTTATAATATAAAGAACTGTCAGACTTGTTAGCAAATTCATTACACTGCCTTAACGGAAAAAAACATGTTAAGTGTGTGGTAATTAGCACCGTCACCCACGTTGTTTGTAGTTATGTTTTGTATGAGATCATAATTAGTTTCGGAATAGATGAAACGTTCAGAGTAAAGAGGCAATAAATGCTTTTGATCAATTTTGGATGTAGGGGCGCCACTAAATAACCCAAATAACCGAACAATGAAGAACAAAGCTGTATACGGTTTTTTGCGGAGTATATCAAAGTATATTGTTTAGTGTACTCTCTTATAACGGTTTATTTATTAATCGCTTATTGTTGAAAAAAAAGTATTTTGTTCGATTAGGACACCTTTATTTTTGTACGGTGTCTAACATTTTTATTAGCTACTGTTCACAGTTTTTCGTAATAATTTTGAAAGATTTTCACGCAATTGTTGCTCCTCAAAAAAAAAAAAAACTTTTCAGACAATTCCGAAACAAAAATTTTACGCTCAAGTTTTTACACTTCCCTTAAAAGGGAACGCTAATTTTAATGTTGAATTCCAACTATTGTGAACGAAAACGTGAGTAAAGTCAGATTATAAAAGTGTGTTTACATACTATTGTTCATTGTTCAATTACTTCAAAGAATTTTTTGTTATTTTTCGCCCACATGTTGTCTAATTTTTTGTAATAATGAAGTTTTATAGTTTTTCTATATTTTTATTATCACATTTATAAATCGTGCACCACTTTCCGGGATAAGCCTGATAAATGTTAATTGCAAGTCGCTCTTGTTTACATTTACTCAGCACCTCCAAAAATTTTTGTTAATAACAATTTTCACTTTTAATCGCTTTTAAGTGACACGGAACTAATTGCTTAAAAATACTCCAGAAATGCGTCCACTTTTTTGGTTTAATTATTTTAATGGTGCACGCCAGCGTCAGTGTCGCTTTCATTAAAAACAGAAATATAAAGATGAATATATTTTAATGGAATTAAATTATATTGGAATTTCAGCAATTGTATAAAATGATTATAATTTTAAATAAGTGGCACTTACCTCTTTTCTAATACCCGGAAATATTATCAGAAACGCCACATAAAGCGTACAAAAAATTGTCAGGAATGTGATGAGTGTTACGTCTCCGGTAACTGCTGTACGGTTGTTGAAACTGTATAGTGTAGGACCTCCATCGTAGCGAAATGCATCGAACCACCCCTTCATGGCAGAATGTGCACAGCTGCAAATAAAAAAACTTTTTGAAAATGGAAAAATTTGAATTGTTAATTTATTCTCCTTTGTTGAAAGTCATAAATATTAATAATAGTATTAAACAAAAACCCATGTAATAAAAATCGTAGGCATATATAGCGATTTTATGGATTTAGTGAATTAAGATTATTGCTGCCTAGGATTTTTATTTTAAAATTTTTGTTGGGTTTGTATTACTTCTAAGAGATTTATAAAAATCTTTAAATATTTGTTTGACGTTAGAAATTCCTGAAACTGATATCTGTAAAATGATATTAGTGTTTTTATACGTTGTTTTAATTTGGAGTTTTTGATTAACCATTGTAATAGTCACACGAATACTTTTGTACTTTTCCTTTGTACATATTAATAGATTCGACAGTACGGAAAACAGGTTTTCTGACACTCTGTACTTCTTAGAAATTTATTGTGCAGATACAGAATTATCCTATACCAAATTCTAATTAGAACTTCCCGGTTGTTACACAATGATGATACAGATATCAAAAAATTGGTCTAAAGTTATTTAGATAGAACTTCCCTCCCTTCCAAAGGACAGTCAAACAAATACAGCTTCTTCAAAAGATACAGCAAAATTGTGAATTTTATAATTTTTTTATTTTTCAAATAGAACACTGTTATATTACTGAATCTGTTTCTATTTTTTGTTTTCTTTTTTTTTCGTCAAGTATCTTCTGCATTTTAAGTTGATAATTCTTACGATTTATTTTTTAAAAGAGACACATCGATGTATTGAAAGAATGATAACAAAAAATAGAGTAAGATACAGTAACAACAGGGTGTTCTATTTGATAAAACTGAAATATCGATATTTCAAAATTGCAATAATTAAAAAAAAAATTTAAACACTCTGTATACGAAAATATAATTTCATTTATATCACAATAAAGCGCGTACCTTTAGTTATCTCTGCAAAAAATATTGTAAGACAGATTTTAAAATAACCGTACTGTGATTTTTTAACCCTTCCATTGTTAAAAAATTTCAGGAAAATCGGAATAACGTGGCAACGTCGCATCGGAAGTTCAAAAATAAATTGTGGTTGTACAGAAGAGGTCAATGAAAATATGCAAAAATATGTAAGTTGTTTCATTAAAAAAAAATTAAGCTTGAGCCTTAAAAACAGAACGCTCTATACAGTTCAAAATAATTTTAATGTATAGTCCCCACGAACCATGCAACTTCGGTCTTTAACTTTTTTACTTCCCGAGTGTAAGCTAAGGAAGAATTATATTTAAATCCATGGGTCGATTGGCTACTTTCATATTTTCTCGAATGGTCATGACCTCTAGAGTACGAAAAAATAGATCTGTCTGTCTGTCTGTCCGTCGTCCGTGTCGATTTTCCGTAGATACATAATCTTCGAAACTACCGAACCAATAGTTGTATATAATATACATGTAATGTAGGTGGTAAAACGCTAACCAAACGTCTAATCATCGCCACCAACAATATGATAACGTCGCCTCAAAATTGTGCACAATAAATGGGTTTTAAGTTATATATTATGTGCAGTTTATGAACCCGTGTGAGTTTTTACCCAAGATATTCAGATTTCTGGAAAAAAAAATTAAAATTGTATAACAATTTAATTTTGAATCTGTAAAACTGAATGCCTTGAAATGGCAGTATGGTAAATTTTTAATCAAAATATATTTGTTCATCCCCACCAAAAATTGAAATCGTCTTCTCAAAATTTTGCCAGATAAATCCTCTATAAAGGGTGCAAAGTATGATGAAACTTGTGATTTACCACTGCATTTATTTTTTTAGAATTGCTTATACAGGTTGAGTCAAAAAAATTAATGAATGAGTCATTTTATTTTATTGATTAAATCAAGAACGGGTAACTCCCATTTCCCGTAAATTTCGGAATACAATACCATTGTTTACATAGGGCCTATATAAATTGATATAGGTGTTCTTAAAAAAATGTTGATGATGTCTCACCAAATTTTTGAAAGTAAAAACTCATTTGAAACGTACGCGTAGCAAGTTGCTTTACATTTATTTTAACATTACACACATATTTTTATTTCAATTTATAGAGGTTATTATTATTATTTATAGAGATATTCTACTGAGGGGCGAAGGAAGTTCTGTCGAAACAACGTTTGCCGATTTTTTTCTATTTCTTCTAATTAATGTGATATACAGGAACGCGAGCTTAGTAACTCACCCTGTATTTAGAACAGATAAGGGCCCATTCATTTATTACGTAAGGGGTTTTATGGGGGAGGGAGTTGATTAGTACTGTAACAATTTATTACGTAAGATTTTATTCTAGTAAAATTGTAAGTCAAAAGTATTAAGTACTAAAGAATATGTGAATAAAATGAACCGAATCATCTTAAATGTAAAGTAGAATAGACTAGGACCCGGTTTATAGAAACCGATGTTAAAGTTAATTCGCGATTAACTTTTAATTAAGGTCCGTTGCTAGGTAACGTGCATGTTCTAACCAACCACGGGCTCATATTCCACATTTTAATCCTCTGTTAAATTAATCGAGGATTAAATATTTAATTCGCCTTTCTATAAACCGGCCCGAGATAAAATTATGAGCTTTATAGGAATCAATTATGACAATTTTTTACTTCATTAATAAGTTTATAAAAGTTTATGTATTAAATAATGGATTATTATTTAAATAAAAATTATTGTTTTAAATATAAAGTCGACATATTTTCATTAATTTCAGTTAAGATTACTATAGTACCGAAAATATTTTTATCTTACGTAAGATTCGAGCAGGGATAAGGGTGATTTTTTCTTATTATGGGGTAAGATGGTGTTAAAAAGTTGGAAAATCCGTTTTAGATAACCAACGGGAAAAATATATTATCAGTCCTTGCTTAGCTAAATTAAAATTATGATCATTCTTATTTTATTATTATTTAATATAAACGGGTGCAAGACTACTGTATTCTCAATTTTTCAAGAAAATAGGGTGAATCATTCTTGATTTGATCAATAAAAAAATTGTGTACGCATAAGTCAACCGAATCAAGGACTTTCGCGTTAATAATTCAACATTTTTATCTACAGTCACGTCAGTGCTCTTGTACTGGTATAAAAGGCGGATTCATAGATAAATATACGGGTCTGTTATTTTTGATTATTTATTGGACAACTTTTGGTTAGCGTTTTACCATCTACATGATGTTCCTAATGTACATATAAAAATTGGAAAAACAATCGGTCCGGTAGTTTCGAAAGTTATTTGTCAGGATGGAAACGGGAAACCTATTTTTCCGTACTGTAGAGGTCATCAAACGTCGAAAAGACATGAAAGCCATTAGTCCAGGTAAAAAGCCTTAGCTATAGAAATTTTAGCCTGCAGTAGCACCCATTTATACTATAGAATAATTTGAAATTTAGCAACGAGTAACGTTTTGGGTTAGTGTTACATTGTACATGTCAAAATTAATGTATTGATCCCCACCAAAACGGCAGTCATTTAATGAAATTTATTGCAGATAACGATTTAATATTTCTAGGCTAACGAATAGCTGTACACAGTATGCGCAAAAAAGTAATAAAAATATACTCCACTTCCCGAGTGGTAGTATATATCGTTTATTATCTATAGCAACGAAAATACAAAATTACAAAAATTATTGACGTGTTTCGCCAACCACTTTAGTATTTTCTAGACAATAATAACCTGATAATGGCAATGGTGAAACGCGTCGACAATTTTTGTAATTTTTTTAGGTGTTTAGGAGAAATCGAAAATTCTTATGTGACAGTTACAGGTAACAGGGTATTTTATGAGTATTAAATCCCATATTGAGATTATTTTCAAAATGTCAAGTGTTTATATCGTCTAGAAGAACACTGAGTTTGACATCGACATGCGGATTTAGGTTATTTTGGGTAAGTAGATGCTATTATGATAATTTTTATTATTAAATATTGGCGAGCGCCACATTACTCTATTTTCAAATTTTCGACAAACTGGGGTGAATCATTCTCGATTTAAACAATAAAAAAATGTTACCCATGTGCCAATCGAACAAGCAGTTAACTATTATATCATATTATAAAGAATTCTGAAAAATTTATTACATAAATATTTTTATTTCAGAAGTAAGATAATTCAGTACAAACATCACCGCAGATTTTTTTTAACATGTTGTCATCTTTTGAATAGCGACTTAAGCAAACGTTAAATCAAAGTTGACGGACGGAAAAATATTATCTAAATGAAATACTTAAAATAACATGAAGAGAGTTTATAAATATCATGAAACAGTCTTAGTGCAGTCAAGCTATAATATTACACTAACGTTATTTTAAACATATTGGCAATAATTTTTGCAAAAGTAGCCGTAAAATATGGAAATTTAATAAAAAACACGGCAATAAAACTAAGAGCAGACAGGCCAAGTGTTTTTTCACTAGGGTTACATTTCAGAAATCAGTTTAAATTTTTTTTAACTATGGATGGACACATCAGAAAAAAAATTAACAATTGTTCTAACCACAGTATTAAAGTTATTTTAAAACTCAGTATAATTGTGTTACAGAACGTGCATAAATTTGTTAAAGCCAGTGTAAAACTGTTAAAATCCTTGTTAAATGGAATTTACTGCCGTTAATCCTTTTGATAGACTGTGTACAATAATGAAACGATTTTGTCAAATTCCTTAATTTAATCACCAAGAAACAAATTAAATATATTAATGGCTTCTACTTATATTAAAGCAACTAAGACATTACGTTGGAATTTATTTTATTGTTTAGACAAATTTATAGTTGTCTTAAGATGTTTAACTCCAAGATTCTATTGCCGAACAAAGGCGATTATTCTGCTGCTGCGGTTAAAGTTCCGGTTTAAGATGTTTATTTACATTACTTTTTATTCCCTATTCAGACTAAAACTACTGTCTTTATTTTGTAGTACAGTGTCGTCGCCTCCGTTCGTGTAATAGATATAATGTGCTTAAAAACTGACAGCAAAAA